GAGTGTCCAGTGACCCATTTGTACTTTTTTCGTTCGCGCAAATTTATTTAAAACAACATTTAAGTCTGGCCTTATGCCAAATGTTGTGGTTCGCAGCAGTAAAATTGTTATTATTGACTTAGTCAATTTTGGATACATCGCCCAAAGCGTAATCGTTCAATGCGATTTGCCAACTCAGTGAATGCCAATTAAAAGCAACCCCAAAGTATTGAAAACTTTCCGCGAAAAGTTTCGATCCTTTTCAAAAGTCATTCGCAGTATTCATTTGCATTTATCCGCAACTTTTCAGACTGTTTTATTTAATTAAAAAGTATGAGAAGTAATGTTGCACATACGCCCTGTTGTTTGAGCTTCCTTACCAAAAAAGGCGGAACTTTTAGGGCCTGCTAAATTTGTTACTGCCGAATTCCATTGACTTTTCACCCCGTGTTTGCTGCGTGATAATTTTATGCAATTGCGGTCACATTAATGGTTCGCATTCGGTTTGATTTAGGACCCGAGTGCGTGGCATGGAATTTGCAATTACACCGCCAAGTGCCCCGCCCACTTCCGGCCCTATACCGCTGACAGCTCAACTGCGAGCGAACCGCCTTTAACGGCGCTGGCACGTGTTGTTGTGCGTGTGATTTATGCTTTATGGGTCCCGCCCGCAAAAGTAGGCAACGCTCCCTGAACACCGAACTGCCAGGATGCCAGGATGTGCGTGCTGCCAGTTTTTAATTGCTTTCCCGTTGACGGGCTCGCAACTGAATTATTGATGTAGGTCAGGGAGCAAAGGGTATGGCCGGAAATAGCCTGACAAGTGGAAGTAAGGCTCGTAATCCTAACGAAATGTGGTGTGGACCATGATGTATCAATCAGCTAGTGCTACTTGACATTGGACACTTTGATAACAGTTTATTAAATCGTTATAGCTGACTGATTTCTATGCAATTCACTACACTTTTCTATAAGCTATCGAATTTTGCCAATGTGGAAAAATAAACAATATTGTTCATTTTCTTGGAACCATTTCGAAAACTTCATCAACATCATTTCATTCCAACTGCTTGACAAACGCGTTTCGTTGGCTTCTACGAATTTAAATCGAGAAAAATGTCAGTGTAAAGTGTTTTACATTGAAGAGGTGCACTGAACTAGAAAACTTAAATTCCTCAGCCCATTGAAATACAAAGGACTCGGAAATTTGCTTTACACAACATTTTAATAGGTTTTTATAGACTTTTTTATACCAGTTATTACGCTATAGTGGCCTATCGGTAGGAACTGGTAAACAAAAAAATAGTGAAATAAAAATAAAAACGATTTTCTGGCTTGTTGATGTACAAGAGGTAGTTTTTCATATCGAAGGAAATGGGCAAGAGTGGCATTACCGACAGACAGACGGACATTTACTACATTTTAGACAACCGTTTACTTTGCGAATAGTAGGTATAAAATAGCAGTCTGATTCCAGCTTGAATTTTCAGTGACTAATAAATTGAATACGATGAATGCTAATTGGCTTTTGCACCTTCCTTCCCCTGCCAGATTTTAGCCCTGAAATCCGTTTCCAATTGGTTTAATGTCTTAAGTGGGCAAAATATGAACTGACTGGGTATTAAATGCTATTAGCTTGGAGCTGAAATCTGTCATTACGGCACTAATAATATTTTAAAGCGGCTTATCGAGCAAATTGATAACAACAGACAACATCCAGCGACTGGCATCGTTAGGCTACTTACAAGGGATTTCCTTGAAAGAGGCTCAGTATTACCACTTCTGTTCTAGGAAAATGAGAAAAATGGCTTCAATGAATCAGTTGCAAGTATATGCCTATATGGCATATTACAAGGGCCAACTTTTTCATTTGAGAGTAATGAAAGACATTATGTTGCCAAAGTGAGGAAGCAGCAGCAAGTTACATCCACCGAAGCACTTCACAATGCTCATCTGCACCACACATTCAATTTGGGGGCCAGTGATAAGATTTATGGAGCATTTTCAAATGCGGGCTGCGAACTGCGGAGCAACTGCTGTTTTCCAAGCTTGGATCCCATAAAACAGACACTGACAACGACATCAACACCGGTCTGCTCCACGAGAGAAAGTACAACAGGCGTAGGGAAAACACACATCCAGGCACACTGAGAGAAAAGTCCTAGTAAGCTAGTATCGCGGGAAACGGCGTTTGATACAATATGCCTGGAATACACGCCTTTAATAAATGTGAGATAGAACTATTGTCTGAACTAAATATGTTTAGATTTATATCAATGGTTAATTAGTATACTTTAGAAATAATAATAATACAGGTGCAGTTCCCTACTCTTCTTCAGCATTTATTTTCCAGTGCATGCCACCTCTTTAACTGAAATGCTACGTTCCTACAAGTGTGCTTTGATGGAAGTACTTCTTCTGCTGTCACAATCAGCATCTCAGTGGTGCAAAGGGGGAAAATTGTATAAATTGGTTGGAATGGGATGTGTGTGCTCCACTTCCTATTAGTTTCCTTTGACATCCTGCATATGTAACACGAACCCGATGAAGGACCATCGCAACGTTGTGGCCAGGGGGCAACTTATTAGGAAGCGTCCGCAATGTGTTGACATGCCCGGGCAATCAAACAACAAACTTTTACTCATCGTGACATTTGCCCCCCTTTTCCGAGCGACTAAACATCGGTTTGTATGTACGAGGACATACATTGTACATATGTTATGGCGAACCCGCATCCGTCACGTCAGCCACCAGCGTTAACTGCATCACGTAAAGTGCTTAATCGGCTGGCAAGAGGATGGGTCGGGTCCTGTTTCGGGAGTCCTGAATCCAGCTTCTAGCCACTTGCTCCTGAAAGCCACACAGAAACGCTTTGTTGTTCCATCAAAACGACTAATTGATTCAATTAACGCACATGCCCAGGTAGCTTTCGCAAAATGCTTCTGGTTTTTACTAGAAACCCTTTAGAAATATACAAATACAGAGCATAGGCAAGAACAAGTTGTACAAGTTTCTACTCAAATTAAACGAATTCCGAATTATACCCCTTGAATAAATATGCTTTAAAAGAAATCCGCAATGGCTCATACAACTTTACTTTATTTTGTTTACCTGCATTTGAATGCAATTTAATTTTCTTATTTTCTTGGTGCTACAACCAAGATAATCAATATCAAAAGAAGTGTAAATTAACTTTAAATGAACGCATCTGTATGAGTGGACTTTCAGTAACAGATTTAATATTCAAGCCACTGGTAAGCCAAGTAAAATGGACACGTACATATGTAAAAGTGGACTTCCCGTCGAATGACCGACCACATGATGTTTACTTTTGAGCACAGAGTGCAAAGTTCTCGAAACGGGCCACGTGTGGGCCAAAAGAAGAGTTTGTTGGCCGCTTGAGACACAATGGACGCGATTCCGATACTTCGATATTTTGGCTCCTTTGTGGCGTCGTGCGAGTGACAATGGCTTTACTCGTTAAATATTTATTTATGTTTTCACGCTTGGAGTACAAGGAAAACACAGCAAGAAATCAACAAGTTTGTTGTCTCCTCAGAGGGGGTGACCTTCATTATGGGCATCCAAAAGCAATTCCCACTGGTCGTATCGAAGCATTTAAAATCGGTGGACTTAGCCAAGTACTTTATGGCGGTATATTGAAAAAGCGATTTAGGTTGATCCGCAGGATCAAAGTTCCCCCAGGTAAGCCTTTAAATGGCTGCTCCACCCGATTTCCGCAGTACTAAGCCCAAGGAAAAGCATTAATATTAATGCCGCGACTGCGATGTTTTATGCCAATTTATAACAATTTAGTCAGCCCCTATGCAAGCTGCATTTTAAAACGCCTAAATGTCGTACCCAACCTATCTCAACCGAAGGAGACATAAAGTTAAGCCCCAAAATTTCACCACAAATAAACAATGTAATGCTGGCTAAAAACGAATTGCGTTGTGTCATCGAGCGACCATAAAACTTGGCCAAACAAAACCCCAAAAATAAAGGAGCTTTAAGGATAGCACACGTACTAGGCCAAGGAAGTAGGCACACAAGTCTCGAGTGTCCACTAGGGTAGCCATCATTAATAATGGGAATGGTCTTCATATTTGGCTTTAATGAAAACACTCATTATAGTTTAATGGCAAGGCCCTGAACCAAACAATAAATGAATCGTATCCTCATATGAACAACATGGGTACAACGTAAAAAAGAAGTCATCAAAATGCCTTTCAGGCGTTGCTAGAGCAACGCATGGATAGCTGTTTTCCTCGGCTCCAACTATAAGAAAACAAACTTTGTTTGTTTGGGAGTTTCACGTAAGCTATCCCATTGTATCTTAAAGCCGCAGCTAGAAGATATTTTCTCTAACTAATTGAACCAATATAAGCTACTCATTCTTCAGTTAGTAGTTGTTTCTGGAATTGAGCCGAAATAGTTTAAATAGTTCGAGAAATGTAATTGTATCTTGGGTTTAAAAAAGAAGTGCATTAATTAGCTATTAAGCTGACAGGTCTGTCCAAATGCTCAAAAATAAACTGAAAGTAATTTTTCAGAGTCTAATAATGTATATCGTATTATTTCAAGCAATGCTACGATATTAACTTACTTCAATCCTTTAGCATAGCTTATATATCTTTAAGGAAGTCGTCAACTCATGTGGCCCAACCTCATGCAACTCGAACATGTTGCAAGCAATTTCAAGTTGAGCAGCGAACCCTACTCCGATGTAAACTATGGAAGACAGGCAGTAAATTGACAGCATGGATGGAGGTAGTTTGACAATGATTTGACGGATTGAGATATAACAATGGGTTTCTTCGTTTACATATATCATATGTATGTTTTTTGTAAAAGGTAGTTTTCTGAAACGTAAGTAACTGAGATATCTCATCATACAGTATGTAAGCCTCCTATTCAGAATCACCCATTATGTGGTCTTCGTAGAATAACTAATATTGTTAACTTACCAAAACTACCATTACATTTTTTTCCAACTATGAGGCAACCCAATTAAAAGCCAGTTTAAAAATGATTAGCACTGCATTAAAGATGATTTAAACTCGATTTCTAGGACAATATTTATATTCACGACGCAGAGATGGACCGGTAAGGGCAGTCCTTCCATCAAATAAAATGACACATCTGTGGTGGACGATCGGATAGTTGGCGATCCCTCTGCTGATGCCAGTGCCTCTGTGCGTTTTGTGGGGTTTCCCTAAATTTATGTACATGGGTGGTACTTCTAAGAGATAAAATACTCGTTCGCCTAACGATAACGGTGAGTTTGGGTGTCGGTAGGTGTAAGTAGAATACAATAGATCCGATCTGATCCGATCCGATTCGATTCGATCCAAAAGGTCGCCGCTCTTCTACGAGTAGAAGGTCAGCACACTCGTCTGATTGCCGCGCACAAAGAGGAAGGGCGGCATATCCCGGCTCAGGCTCTCCAGCCAGGCCATGTAGAGTGGTGCGGACACGATGTTCTTGCGGGGCATCGGCAGGGTCATCACCACCAGGTCCGACTTGGTCGACTGCTCCCGCAGGTACTCCCGCAGGCGAAGGTAGCGATTCGTCTTGTCCTGCACCGCCAGCAGGTCGTCATCGGTGATGAGGGCTGGAAGGCAAATCAAGTTGCAAGTTACATATAATATTATTATTAATAACAAAATTAAGACTTAGTGACTCCAGAGCGATGTTCAAAACTCTTAAAACGAATATGTCCTACTTAAAAATTAAATAATTACAGTGAAGTATCTTGAACTCTAAAATGAATAACATTGTGTCTTTATAGTCCGCCTTGATTCAAGTATTTGTATATTGTATCGTACATTCTAGCTCAGCCTATATGGACTTACCATCGTCCTCATTGAGAGTTGCCCTGCTGCTGGTGCCATTCTCGCCATCCTTTTCGGTTACCACAAAGTCCTTAATCAGCTCGTTGAAGAACTGCGTGGATGTCTCCTGTGGCTTCTTCGTTATATCCGGAATCAGCGTCAAATCCGAGTAATCGATCCGAAACTTTGATAGCAAACTGGCCATCGAGCGCTGCTCGAACTCCAACTCCGAATTTTTGTTTGCCAAAGCGTAAACTCTGCGGGTGGAAAATTACAAAATTAACATATAAAATCATTGCTTTAAAACATTTGGCTTTATGAGTTTTTGGAAAACCGCATGAATATTATCTACGCAGGCTCGTCAAGTTTAATTAATTCCGACCACTTCAGTGTTTACTTTTGCAATTGTTTTCAGCTGGATAGATATTGTTGTAATATCTTTCATGCACATCCACTCGACGTTACGCAATTCATTAAAATATGAACATGTTGTATTTACTTTAAGCTGGTTAGATTTATTTAATAACTTTAAGGCGCACCACCGAACACGATATTTCTGTGCGGCAAACATAAACAATATTGCTCAAGCAAAAAATCTGTTTACTAGCTCAAAATAAAGTGCAAATAAATAAAAAAATATGTTTTGAAAAGAGCAAATATGAGCAGCACCAGGCACCGCACTTTCGAAAAAGTACACAATATAACAACAAATATAAACAAGAAAAAATGATATAGTCGACCTATAATACAAAAAATTATAATAAAAAAAGGTTCTAATTTGTAGAGATTTGTAGAGAATTTCGCCAGAAACATTTTGAGATATTCCACTTTAAAATCCGATTAAGGCTGTGGCGGAAACGCTTCCTTCTGTCTGTTACATACTTTTCAACGAATCTGGTATACCCTTTTACTCTAAGAGTAGCGGGTATGAAAAGTTGCCTCAAGCGTGCGCTCCTTTGGTAATCAGGATATCTGCTCTCCAAGGAAGAGCACATGACTAAAAATCCCTCGGTGCAAATTACTTGCCCGTTAGCTAGCATTTCGCGGCAATTCGCGATATACCCACCTCAATTTACAGGATTGCCAGGTGCGCCGGGTACTGATGATGTAGGGCAGCAGGAGTGTGAGTCCTCCGTCGTCGTACAACCACCAGACATCGATGACGGCGTGGCTGCGTTTTCTGGTGAATTGGGTGAGGTCCGCCAGGACCTCTTTGGGCAGCTCGGCGCCACCAGGACCCTTGTAGAGGGAGGCCGGGTCATCATGCTTCAGCTTGGACTTACGCAGCGAATTGCTCTGCAATGGTGCACGACAGTCAATCGATTATAATGGCTAATTAAAAGTGTTGTTAGCAGTTACCACAAGATTGGCTGACTTTGCGTCCAGTGGATCCGGCATGCCGGAAACATCCTTCGATTGATTGCCCGCAATGAAGGACAGGTCACTGGTGCTGGAGGCTAAATGGGAAAATGAAAAAATTAAGAAGAGTTTTCGAAAGAGTAACAAACGACTGGCAAACAAAATATCTTGGCTACACAGCAAAATCATTTCATCATTCGGGACATGCACAGACAACAAACAATGCAGCAGGAATTCAGCAGAATTCCATTTTCCGTCTCTATATGGGTATATATTCAGAACATACAGTCGCCCCTTCCACCAAACAGGGTCACCAAGTTGACAAATTTGGAGCATAAGTTCCAGCAACGAGGAGAGGGACGAGTGTCCAGCAGGACATTGTGCGAATTTGAAATTCAAATTTAAGAGCATTGCATTAATTTTCGGGTCCCAAAGGATTCGAGCACGCACAGATGTCGAACCGGCAAAGGGAGGCCCGAAAACCTTTGCTGAGCTTGGAGTTAGTTCGGCTGTTAAATATTAAAATGCTACGTTAATCGCTGGTAAACTTTATGGCTTGATTGCGGCCACATGCAGCAGCTGACATGCGTGATAGTGATTGCTTGTGCGCCATTATGTGGTGGCTGGCAGCCCATTCATATCCATATTTACCTACTCAGCCTACAACAACTTCACATTCCATTCAAGCCATCCATTTAAGATATCACACGCAATCTTAGCAACAAACCCAACTTCACCTGCACCTGGCCACGAGCGCATTCTCCGCAGGCTCTGCTTGAATCGCACTGCGGTTCCCCAGAAGATACGAAAAACGATGATTCGAAACGATGATACCAATTTAACAATTTAATTGCAAGGGATAATTGGTTGGCATTTCGACTTGCTGCTTGACAAGTGGGTAGGGTGGACCTGTGTATTGGTTAATGGCTGGCAAGTTTTTTACGCTTTCTGTTTATAAATAGTATTTCAGTTTATAGCACTATGTTGTGTGTGAATGTTTATATTACTTGAAATACAAAAAGATAATTAAATTGGAAGAGACTATAATTGCAAGTGGCTACAACTTAAGTCAATATGAATTATTCGGCTTAATCATTTTGAAGTACTCTATGTACAGGATTTCCTTCGACAGCAACAGCAGGTCCACCCTAATGTTAGCCTTTACCATTTCACCGGGCATGCTACTCACATTTGACTATCTTCAGGCTGTTCTGCTCGCTGTGGACCAACTGGTTTCGGTTTCGGTCTTCTACGTGATTGCAATTGTGGTGCAGAAGGTGCAATTGAGTGGGGTGGTGCGATTTAGGGGGTAAAGAGAGAGACATGCGGAATATAATCGAAGGATATGAGTTAATTAAAAAGTATTATATGGATCCCTCCAAGTGGATTCCTGTTCCTCACCTTGCGATACATTTCTGCTGAGGGAGTCAATGCTGCCACTCAAACCGTTCCTGGCACTACTGTCCACCGCCTGCAGATCCCCGGAACTCTCATTTGGCTGCAGGGTTCTCGGCACATCCGAAACGGTCTTCCAACCATCCTGGGAGCCCAGCAGCTGCGAACAGTCCAGACCCTGAGGAACACGCAAAATGGCCACGGAGAGGTACATGTCCAGTGCCTTGTGCATCACATTGAAGTACTGATCCAGCTCCTTGTGATCGCACGTCTGCCAGTCAGTCTTGTAACCCATCAGGATGATGTTCGGCTTAAGTTTTCCAATTCCAGTAGCCTGCATCAGGGCTCGGGTGCCCGACTCAAAGTCCTCACCATCCACCAAGGCATAGAAGCCCTTAACGCGATGCTTCCGGAACCAATTGGCCGCCCTTTCCTGCAGATATGTCCGGTACTTCTGGGAACTGGAACCTTTCAGAACGTGACCACAGACGAGCAGGGATAAGTTCTTGGTGAGCATGTAGGCCAAGTCGACGAGCACCGGCCGAGTGTTGGGCAAACCGGAAAGAACCAGTATCTGTGGCCGGTAGTTCTTCACGTGCTCCTCCACATTGTTCAGCTGCTGCACGGACATCAGGGCGTTCTTGTACGTCTGAGCCTGGGTGGTGGAGCCCCAGTTGACATCCGGTTTCCGGTAGGCCACAATTAAGTACAGAGCCAGCACGGCGGCAAAGGTGATGAGTGCAGTGGCCCACGAGATGAGGAACATGACGGCCACACAGAGAATGGCGCCCAACAGGCTCAGCCACATATTGTAATACTAAGTTGATTGGGGCTTATAGTACACATTTCTTGCTGGCGCACTTAAATCAATTAGCTCACCTTAAAGGTCGGTCGCCAGCCCACTGGCTTGGCCAGACTGGCATGGAAGGTACTGAAGTTGATCAACATGTAGGCGGCCAGGAAGAAGTTCGATATGAGCGGGGCAATCAGGTTCAGTTCGCCAATCAATATGAAGCTACAGCCGGAGGGGAAGAATACTTAGTGCTTTCTGAAAACTCTCTCTTTATCTTAAACATTTTGCTAAAAGAATACAGTTTTCTAAAGCACCTACTCAAGCAGAGGCAAACTTACGTGTCTATTCTTTATACGTTTATATAAAGAAAAATCTAAAAAAGCTACTTACGCGCAGGCAATGATGAAAGTTAATACATAGCCACGAACTGGCTCATTATTTTTGCCATACCCCTTGGCAAACCACACAATCTTCGGATACAGCTCATCCTTGCACAGGGCCTGTGGAAATGGATATTTTATGGGCATTTGACCTTGATACGGGAACTGGATTAACCCACCTGGAAAACCTTGGGAGCAGAAACCAAACTGGCCAATGCCGAGGATAAGGTGGCAGCATAGCAACCGGCGTAAATGAGTGGGCCAAAGCCGGAGACCAACTCAATTACTTGAAATGAGTTTTGCAGGCCGTAATTGCATTCACCTGTTTGGTAACGAAAGTGTTGCAGCTTAAATTACGTTATCATATATAAATCTCTGAAAATTCGATCGTTACCAGGCTGGCAGTCGAGGAATGCAAAGGAGCCGTTGACCGCATCCGTAAGGTTTCCAGTGGCATCACGAGCCACTGTGGCACCACACTGGAGGACCATAATCAGGTAGGTGCCGGTGGTGATGACAATGGCTAGAATCGTGCCTTTCGGAATGGATTTTTGGGGATCCTACGCCAAGTAAGAACGAATTAAGATTTTAAAGAAATAAAATGGACGTTTTTTTCGGTTTTAGGATTACCTTCAGGTCCCCCGAGATATTGGCTCCAGCTAAAATGCCCGTGGCGGCAGGGAAGAAAATGGCAAACACTGAGAAAAAATCGTGTTGAATGCCTCCTTTTTCCGGTCGATAGTCCGCAAAAAGGTTATTCTTAAACAAAGTAGCTATGGGAAAACAAAATATTTGATTACTCTATACAAGTGTTTACACATCCCTGCTCACCATTATAACCCAAAAATCCCATGGCCAGTTCCGCATCACTCTTCGGTCCAATAAAGCTGCCAATAACAAAGTCCCCAATGGCAACCAGCAGGATGACCAGCAGTCCGATTTGCGCCTGGTTAGCCGATATAGAATTAGGTCCATACCTAGCTAGTATATTACGCATACGCACCTTGGCCTCCCACTCCATGCCGACGACCACAATGATCAGGAGCAGCAGGATGGTAATGCATCCAATGATGCGCACGTCCTGAACGCCACCATCTACGATTTCCCAACCAAAGGTCGTCATCATGGCCAGCATGGACTCGCAGAAGCCGACCACATACATGGCACACGCCACTGCGTTCGCCAGGGAGAAAATCAGACCGATGGATCCGCCGAACTCCGGCCCCAGAGACCGGGATATCATATAATATGTGCCACCTAGGCGAAAGCGTCAAAACCACTTAGAGCCGTTTAAAAGGCGGCCACCTGGGGATGGTGTGTGTACTCACCTCCTTTGATGACACCATTAGTGCTTATCGCCGACATCGACAAGGCCGTGATGGTCGTGACAGCAGTCGTTGTCAGAATTAATACGAATCCCTCTATGACGCCCGCCTGGCCCACCACCCAGCTGAGCCGGAGGAACAGCATCACGCCCCAGATGTTCAGCAGGCAGCGGACGAGCACACCTTTGATCCATCCGAATTTCAGGACCCCATTCAGGATGCCCGACTCCGGGTCCTGATTACGTGTCAAGCTGTGCGTGTTCTACGTTTGAGTACAGAGAGCGAAAAAGGTGTTAGTATCTGATCACATTCTGCATGCGAAAAGCATTACCCTAAGGTATATCTTCATGTCTTGTACATATATTCAGCATAATATATTTTGTATTACATTATTATTATATTTATTATTCTAAATAAATTACTTTATGAATTTCAAATACTACATCAAAACGTAAATTAGTTAAAAATGAACAGTGTCTAAAAGAACTCATAAGCAACAAATAGGATTTTATTATAATGTAGTAATATATAAATATCGAAGAAAGTGTATAAGAAGTTCTTTGTAAATTATTAAAAGGCCTTTTCCACTTCTAAAATTATTTTGGTATATTCCATTCTCCTGTACGCAGGTGTAAAGTGCAAAGGGTAGAGTGCTCTTGAGAAAATTTCAATAAAGCTGTCTAGTGTTGATAAATGATTCGGCAAGCAACTTGAAGTTGAAGGTGGGGTAAATATCTTTCAATTCTTTAATTTTCAGCACAGTGAGGGACATGGAAAATTTTGACGGACATAAAAGAAATCCTGCTGAAAATAGATGACTTCAGCAACGGAGAATTCTGGGCAGCCGTATCATTCCCGCACTCAAGGCATTATTAATAGATTAATCATACGCCCCCGAAACCGCAGCACCCGTTGTGCCAATTGATCTATCTTGAACTTTTGCACTTTTCAACGAGACCCCATCTTAATTGCTTATTATTACGAGATGCCCCAGTGACATTGAGCGAGCTCTTTTTTTATAGTTTTTCGGACGTTTACTTAATTACCAAGGCTTGCTCATCATTCCATTCATCTGGATGCCAGCAAACAACAAAAGAGCTTGCCACATGATATGGCTATTGTGCAACGCATCGCATCATTTTCTCAATGGACCTTCAGTTGCTGCTTGTTGCAATTTATCGTTTCATTTCTTATTGACAATCATTTGCTCGGCCAATTGTGAAGCAAAAACACAAGCAATTAGTCTGAAAAGTGTGGTAATCAATTAGTGCCAATTGATGGAGCACTGCAGCTTCGGTATGGAAAACTTTTAGGAATGATTCACAGCAAGGGCTTAGAAGTCAAATGAAAAGTCAATGGACTTGTCAGATTTAACGGCCGCATAGTCAAATTTAATCGGTTAAGTCTTCCCAAATGGTGCTATTTTTGGAATACATTTCGGGACCGCATGAACTGCATTCGACAAGCAATTTCCCACGGATTTCCCAGGCTGCAGAGCCAACGACCGAGGAATTTGACTCCTGGCGGCACTCGCAGTCACGCTCATGTGCCTGCGCAGAAATGAAAATGGGAAATGTGAAAATGGGGAAATGGAAAATGCCAAGTGGCAAATGGCAAATGGCAAATGGCTTTTGGGGCTTTTTGGATCAGACGGGGTGACACTTGCCGCCGACGATTTGGCACTGCCGGGTACGGGTCAATTCTCCCTTAAAGGGTATTGAATTTGAATTTTTCCCGAATTTTCGCGCTGGGGCGTATGAGCGTAAATTTCAATTTGACTTTCACTGCGACTCGTAAAGCATTTATGGGTCCTGTAAATTTGTAATTTGTGGTTTTCGGTTATCCTGCGGTATATTTACGACTGGGCTGTTATTTTTCATTTAGTAAGCCCGCTCTGGAGGGGAGTGGAACTAACCTTGCCCACCAGCGTGGCGTTGTGCAGCTCGTCGAGCGTTGGACGGTAGGCCGCCTGGATGGACATCATGTTGCGGTAGTTGTCCAGGCGGGGTAACGCCTCTCTGGTGAAGTGCCTGTGGAAAGGAGTAGGGTTTTAATTGGGAAGGTCGACGGCGAAGCAGAGGATACACAGAGAAAAATAATGAAAAGCAGGCCCAGCAAAAAATTCTTATCAAGAAAAATGTTTACTTGTATTCGAAAGACTTTCGTTACTTTCTGCCCCAGATTTATAAATTTTCTGTTTATAATTTAATTTAATAATTTGCAAGTTTTATAAGACAGCAGTAGCTCGGTATTAGGTAGTATATATAATAATCTTCAAAAATATTCAAGTTAAGTTGTGCATTTTAATAAATCTAATCCTTAAAAAAACCAACAATCCCAGCTTATTTTTATCTGTGTAACAAGGTTGGGAGCAATGCAAACTGACCGGAAACTTTTACCATATTTTGTGTCGTACTCGTTGTCCAGCAACTCGCGCTCCTCCTGCGAGTCATTGGACTCGTCGGAGTCCTCATTTTGGGGGTCCACCTGGAAGCGGGTCGTCGTCTGCAGATCCTTGAACCTGGACGGTTTATCCTTGTCGCGGAAGCTGCTTTTGATTGATTGCCTAGGAATGAGGGATACAGAAGGGATATTAGATGGCTCATTTATTTTACGTTACATCTCCTTCAACCGAGCCCATTGTTGGCCCTGGCTACCACTTTAATTGGCGTCGGGCACAAAAGTTCAGGATTAGATTTAACAGCCCATTCGAACTCACACACCCAGTGGACATGGAATCAATATAAAACTCCGCTGCAAATAACTTTCATTATCAGCCAATTCAGTTCGACGAAATTAAATTGAATTTATTTTGATTTAGTTGGCTTCAGCCCCCCAAGCCACGGCTTGCACTCTCTGATTGCCGCCCATTGTGTGGATGCCCCAGATGAGTACTGCCAGTCTGTAAAAGAGCAGACGGCCCCAGGACACGCCCACACGCCCACACGCCTAGAAGGACATTCAACCCCGATCTGCCCGCCCGCAACCGATTATGAGTTGCATGGAGGAGCGTCTGGCATTCTGACATCCTGACGCCCTACTGGTTGCACCCGTTAATCGAAAGAAGCACAAGTACCCATGATTTCTGCGCTGGAATCTATGGAAACTTTTACAAACTTTAAATGAGCAACGGGGCACTTAAAAGTCTTTAAATTATGTGAGCTACAAAGGAGCAATGCCGTTTAAGAACATGTTGTGCGCATCGAAATGCAAATTACTATTTTCAGGAAATGCAATAGGATGAGAAAGCACAAGCATAACATTAAGGTATTAAAATGGAATGTGGTAAAATGTATCTTGCCAGCTTAAAGTTTACAGGCACTTAATTTAAAAGGTAATAAATTCAATATATCCAACTGTTTCCACGAAATTTACATTTCAATTAGGCGCAAGATTGAAAAACACAGCTCTTTATAAATATTCAGCAGAGCGTACTATGAGTAGATTTTTAGAATATTAAAGAGCCAAATGAATAAGTATCCTGCAGTCGAGTTAGCAGTTCTGTTGCTCTTCACATTTGCCAAACGTCTTGCTCTATGGCCTCTAGATATTTATATGATATATGCTCCCTTGTCAGTGAAAAAATTTATGGGGGGCTCGTCTGCTGGGCTCCACGGATTGCTTGGCAGCCGGGAACGTGAAGAGCACTCATAATGACGATCCAGTCGATTGTTTCTCAATGAGATTGATTTAATTCCGGCGCTGTAGGGCGTAAGGAAGCCCAGAAAAAATCTGAAATTAATTATCGAAAGCTGGCGATGAAAACTCGAAAGGGCCTTAAGTAAGCTTATCATTAATTTATGCAGAAACTCGCTGCTGGAAACTTGAGCCGATTATGAGGCATTTTCATATGAAACCGCTTGCTCGTAGTAGAAATTGGGTTGCCTCGGCTTTTCCCGCTCCTTCAAGGATGAGGGCCATGAAATTTTCATAAGCCCCATTACAATAACTTGATTCGCTTTTTTGTGGGCAGACTCGTACTCATAATGTAACGACGACATATCGAATCAAACATTTTATAGTTGGCGAAAGGCAGACAAAGAAGGACTTGTTCCCGCCAATTCCCCGTCGAAATTCTCAGGACTATGCAAATTGGCTGTCCACGGTGCCGATGGGGAATACGAGCGTAAATGATGGTTATTACTTTAGTCTGTGATTGGTGGGTATTGTTTGATTTCTGCAGGCGACTGTTGAACCTTCGCCCGCCGAGTGTTGAACCTGTCTCAGGTCGGCCACTTTCTGCTCTGTGATAGATGAGAATGGCCGAATTCGAGATTTTATCAGGGAGTTTCGTAGAATTGAATCGAATTTGAGTTATTGTACTCGTAGCTGATGGACTGAAAATTACAGCTGCAGCAAATGTGCCGTGAATGATTAAGAGGCATCTTGTTGAGCTGGTCTATAGCTGCTCATATCGATTCAATCTGCATTTTCGGCCATATTGTACCCAAATGATATTCAAGTTGGTCCCTGCTAACTCGGTAATTGATTCAAATGTCCTTCCTGACGGAGCGATAATTCTCGAGCTGCCTTAAAACATTCCGTGTAGAATCCTTCTGGTTCGGAATCTTTTGTAACCGGATGGAACAAGGGCGGAATTTTAACGCCATAATTAAGCGAGGACAAAATACAGGAGGCGACAAAAGCAATCCTTGTTTGATGAAACACTAAACAATTACCAGAAAATGAAAAATTCAAGAAATTTACATTCTCCACTAGACAAAGAAAAAGGTCGAATAGGACGGAAACCCCAACAGCCGCAACCGTTTTAGGCCCCAAGTACACTCAGAAAAAATGTAAAGAAAATACTTTAAAAGTATCATTCCAGCTTTCGACAATACCATAGGCATCCTTAAAGCCCATATTGCAAGAAAGTAGTAATGAGAAATACTAAATGAGGTTTTCCCTCGTCAATATCTTCAAAGTTACCCTTAGCGCACTGGTTTTTCTCGGTGTTGGCTCTCCTGCCCTCTGAACCCTGACCCATACCCAACCGACTCACCTCTGCTGCCTGGGCTGGCGTTGGTTGAGCATTTGTGTCGCATCGAATGTGTCGTCCTCGAGCAGGTCGCCCTCGGCGTTTGTGAGTCGGCGGTAGACCTCGTGCGGCCCATCCTCCCCAGCTCCTGCTCCTGCTCCTCCTCCCGCTCCCGCTCCAGCTCCAGCTCCTGATCCGGATCCTGGGCCATCCGCTCCCAGCGACTTGCGACTATTGCCGTTGACCGGGTTCACTTGAAACCTGTTGGGAGGCCGGTCGGCGGCTGAGCCCAACTCAAAGGAGATTGTGTCTGACATTGAGGCGTGTGTTTTTGTTTCTGTTTGCTTGCCCGGTGCTATTTGGGGTCCTCGCCCCAGGAAGATTTCGCCGAGTGCTTATGCGGTTTCCGTGTGCGGGTCGCAACTCTCAGACCCATCCACTGTGGCCAATAGTGTATGTGTATGGGTATGTGTAAGGGTATGGGTACGGGTATCCCTTCGTCGAGAAATCAGGACATCCGCTGCTGACGATTAAAGTGGCACTCGCAGTGGCAGCGCTTAAAGCTGTCTGAAAAGAGGAGACAAAAAGGAAAACCCATAAATCAAGATGAAGTGAAATAGCATCAAAAAGATTCGAATTCGCTGAATCAGTAAGTGTGCCACAAACGGGAATGTTTTTTTCTAATAGAAAAACACACTCGATTATGCATTGGGTTACTTGGGCGTTTTCTACCGACCCATGCATACACAATTAAACATAGTTTTGTAATCCCAGTCGTGGTGTCCTTTTTTCTGGTGCCTTTGTTGTTAAGGACACTGAAATGAAAACCTTTTCTTTTTATAGCCCCAACAACGAAAATACCACACCCAATACGACACAGCCTAATAAGTTGCCTCAAGTTTTGTGGCGTCTGCCCTGACCAGATGACGAGAATCCCACAACCCTTTTGGTTGGCCTTTTGGGAAAAAAAAGGCTGAATGTTTATTCTTCCACATCGATGTTTTAATATACTGCCATAAAGAATAAATGCACAGGGGCATACGCTTGAAAACTCAAATAAGCCATCAATCAATCGGCAGTTAAATTACGCAAAAATCAATTTTATCCGTAATTAAACCAGTGTGTATTGAAATAACTGTCTTTGTGTACGTAAAAAACAAGTAATTGGAGTAAATCGTTAAACCTAAAAGTTACCTTATGGTATCACAGGTTATAAAACAGCACAGAGTGGACCGATTTGGCACAAGTCAGGAATATGATATTTATTTTATTGGACTACCAGAACACACAAAATATTGAATTACACTATTTGATTTGAACATTGAAATGATATCAGACCATCGAAATACATCAATCAAGCAAACCCGTTTCCATTGACATATGTGTAGGTGTTTGAATTTAAAAGTTCATCAATAAAGAAGTACCCCGATTCGATTACCTATATTCATGTGGCATACGAGTATGTATCGACTTTCGCCAACTCGAGTGCCAAATATGTGTGACGAAATCCGAGAAAGCCACGCTGGCATTCCCGTGCAGTAATAAAAGACCTCCACTCGAAACGATTAAGGCGGTACAATGCAACCGACGGCTAAAAATAGCACCAACTCAAATTGATGCAAATTAATCATGATTAGCCGGCTGATGTGATTGCCAGGTGGAAAGAATGCGCCAGGGGAATCCCTTTGGACACCTGGCGCCACCTATGGGGGAGATGGAGAAGCGCCAAGCGGAAACGGAAGGGGAATGCAAAATGGGAGAGCGGAAACGGAAGTGACAAAGAAGTTGCGTGAACTAGCGACAATGTGTCACAGGTTTTGCATGCGCCATGTTTTATAGGTCAAGTTGAGAGCGACAAGTGCGAAAGGCAAACAAAGGCGAACAATTACCATAACAGAACGGCCAATCCAATCGCAACAATGGAATGGAACTCAAACAGAAGCGCCGATAGAGACGGAGATAGACTGCGAGAAAGAGATTGCAAAACGCTGGCTAATTACGCCAATTACGACATTTTACAAAAATTGTGGGAACTTTGCTCAGCTGGGCTGGGCATCGCAGAATTTGCACGAATTTATTGCAGGCAATTAAGATCTTAATTCAATGAACCCGTTCCCAGTCCAGACCCAGTCCCATTTCCATCCACTCTCATGACAGGCAAACGGCATCCTGGGCAGGTGCACCGACTTTTGGCTTATCAGCGTGAGACACAAAGGACAGCTCTTCAACCCGTTGACCCATGAACCCCAAGCCCCCCAACAGTGAGCAGTTTGGCAGGAAAATGCGGCACAGGCTGCATTGTTAAAAGTTTTCCAGGCGACAGCTTGCCTTCGACAGATGGCGAACAAGTTGAGGTCCGCTGATAAACAGACAAAATACCATGAGAAATTTCAGAGGAAAAAATTTTCAAAATTCTACAACAAAGCGAAGGAAATATTTATATCGAACACTCTAATAAAACCTAAAAAATGGCGACTATTTGACAAAGAAAATTGTTGTTTATGTAACAGCTCCTTAACATTTGAAATGATGCTATAATTTTGCAGATATCGTTCCTTAACAAAGAGTTTAATAGGTCACATTTATTTTTCTCCCTATGTATAAGTTATGGCCACTTTTCAACGGCATTCGGCTGATTTATGACCCCATCTCTGATTAATTGGCCATTTGTGGGGTTGGGAGCTACTGGCTCCCGAAAATGAAGCGTTTAGCAAGCTTTCGACCATGAATCTGCCAACAAAAAAGGCAATAAAAAACATATCAGAATAATAATTGTTGACAGTGCCACCGCCATTGGGGACCCAGTTGTGATTGCCACTGCGGTTCCCTCTTGCTTGTAAATTTTATTTGAAGCGGCGCCCACTTTGCTTTTCATTACTCAATTCCACGCCCGTTCGCAATTCAATTGCCACAATAAAATGCGATTTTTACAACGTCAGTGGTATTTGGCAACAATTGCATATAAAGCTTGTTCTGCCCCTAGCTATTTATACCGTCGAATTAAATGCTTAGATTTAATGGGCTCTTCCAGTTCAAAGGGATGCGAAGTTTGCAACTCTTTGGCAGCATCAGCTGAAAGTTAAAGCCTTCAAGGATATAACTTAGTAGACGGGAAAAGAGCTGGTATAGCATTTAAGTAAAACAGGGCCAAAATTCATGGTCAGAGGTCATTAAATCACAAGTGCTGGCGAATTTTATTATTTTATTGTAAGACCCAATTACAAGCTGCTTGTAGCTGCAAAAAGCAATGGCCGTAAAACACTGGCTGGTCGCCAGGAGGCGCCAGGAAGGACCTAATGACAGGACATCACATGTCACGTGTTAGTCACCATTGCCCCCGATATTGATATCAATCGTTTTTATGCTTTCCCCTACTTCGTGTAATCCCAAGCGGCAATCAGTGATGTGGCACGCACAAAAAAAGCGCAAAACTTTCAGACTGACCGATGTTGGCAGTAGTATCCGTTCATCAGTGGATGACAGGAGGTCATCTGGGCAGACGTATATACGTATATATTCCCAGATAGGCATCAAAGCGGATTAACAAACCAGGACCAAGAAGCTGGGCTAGAAGTTTGCGGGGAAGAAACGGAAAAGCCGGAGCAACAAAGTGTCAAAAGCACACAGCAGAAGTTGAGCAAGTCAAGCGTGCTGATCCGCATTGTATTACATTATTTTACGCCCACCGAAACGGCCAAATAAACTAACAACTAGCCGGCAAGCAAAGGAAAAGAGCCAAATAAAACAAGAAAAACTAAGCAGAGTGTGGGGGAAAAATGCGAAAAAAATGCAAAGTAGCTGGGGAGCAGGGAGAATGCGGATAAAGGGACCGAAAGAACGGAATCTCGTTTAAAGCCCAAAAATGCATACTGTTTGGTAATAAACAAGGAAAACGGAAGTCATTTTGGCAATCGGGCTAATTCTTTTGGCCCACATTTCATGTCTGAACAAAGGGTTGTTGGATTTGTTGCCTTGCTGGGGCATTTTTGCCCCGAGCTTCAACCGCTTAAGCGATTAAGGAGCCATGCGACTGACAGGCATTAGGGCATTAGCTTCCATGTTGTCAGTCCTGAGAAATGACGCAACATTGCTCCCTCCAGCCACTCATTCCAGGTTTTGTCCTGCTCCTGGCCTCTGGATCCTGGATTCTGGGTCCTGAGTCCTGGACCCACGCACAATTTAATGGCATCTCTGGGAAAGAAAAACATGCTTGGCATGAACTGCATACCCACGTGGAGATAAATCCTTGCAGAGAAAGGCCACACATTCGTTAAAGCAAAAGAAGTCCCCTCGTTGGTAAACAAAGCCAGCTCCCATTATATTAATTCAGTTTTTTCATCTGCAAGCATTCCTCCTTGTGTCGTTGAATGTAAAATGCTTGTATGGGGATTTAATATCTAAACCTCCAAGTGACCTACATTGCAGGTCCGTATGTCACTACCCATTATCAACAAATACACCAATAATGTTTTCGATTCAGCTCATTATCTAATTAACATTCTAAGCATTCAGTGATTCATTCGCTGGCAATGAATTTGTTAAGTTTACATATGTTGTTCACTTAAAGTGCAATGCTTAAACTTGACACAATTGCACCAAAAGCCGTTCTCCGTAAGCGAAAAGTAATTTAACTATTTTCGCAATCAATTATATATATTTGGCCAGTCAACAAATCACCATAGTCATGTTTTCTGTTTGCTCAACGCTAATTGCAATCCTTTGCGTCAGATTTGGTGCAAATAAGGAATATTTTATTGATTTGTGAGCTTAAGATAATATTTTCCCATATTTATTTATCAATCAACTTTATTTGATTTATGGAGCACAAATAAACTACACCTTTAAGCTAGCCGCAACAAATTTGTTTGGTTACACATTCTCTTTTCAATTTATTTAAATTTTAAAAAAATTTGTTAAGTTAATTACTTTGAATTAAAATTGATTTTTTTGCTCGGCCTCTACCGTAAAAAAAAAAATAGATTACATTTCGCGATTTTTAATAAAAAGTTGGATTGCAGAAATATATTTTTTGCTTTATGATGACCATTTCCACTCCTAACTAACTATCGCACTTACACAAAACATAAGCCATAACCCAGTTAATAACTGTTGACTGCCATTCTGAGAAAAGCCGTATTAAAAAGCAATGGGAATTTATGGTATGCCTTCCTCGAAATGCAACTATTTATTCTGCGTCAATTAAAATGGACTTTCGTAAAAATATATACAAAATTCCATGATGCACGTAAATACATAATGAACTGATTTTATGGGCTATTTCATATAAGCTGCTGATTTTTTGCTGATTCGAAATTGATGCGCTTTTCACGGATTATTTTCATGTCGTTACACATTTTTGTAAAAAATTCAACGAAAATTCACCTTAAATGCTGTTCGGAATTTGCGATCAAACCATAACCGGCAACACATTTCCATGGCCACAGTGACGAGCTTATATAAACAAGCAGACAGCGAGTGGCAAGTGAAATGCTTTAAATAAATAAGTAGAGTAACGAAAGCAGCCACAAGTTCTCGGCCCAGAAAAGCGTGAAACAATAAAATGTAAC